TTAGAATGCACAGTCATCTGTTTCACTTTACCTACCCTTACGGTTAAGGTGATCACTTTATCTATCCTTACGGTTAAAGAACGGCTTAGCCTACTCATTCACATCTATTAAAATATAAATTTAACATATGCTATACAATAAATTAATTTAAGTAGGTACCTAATTACTTACGTCTCATAGATAAACCTTCCTACAGTATTTGTTGACTTTAATTTGCCCTTCTGGACATTTGGGATCAATAAGAACATTCATAGGTAATCCTTCGTGGTTGTTCTGCAGATAACTCTCGTTGCCATCATGACAACAGCCCCAATTGTACAACAAAATCAAGCATGCAATTACGAACATTAGGCAGGGCTTCATGTTGAATACTGACAATGCGTCTGTTATTGCGCAACTGTGACCTTGTTCATCATTTATCGGTCCGGTGAAAAGTTGCTAGTGAAGTTTTTTTATAAGGGAAGGGGAAATTTTTGAAAAAATTGAATCAATTGCGTACTCAGTAGTATTACTTACGGTTTAAGTCATGATTTTCAAACATCTTGCATTAACCTTACGCTCCCCCGGTTGACAGGCCGGATTGACAAGTGATTTGGGTGATGGTTCTCCTACTAGGTCACGCAATTGCTTAATGCGTTCGAGAATATCCTCATCATTTTCTTCACAGGAAGCCGAATTGTAAAGCAATATAAGGCAGGCCATAACAAAAAGTAGGAACAGTTTCATAGCGAATTCGAGAAGAAAATACTCATAAATTGAGCGCCGTCTGCACTGAATATAAACACAGGTCAAAAGTACAATGACGCTAGTGAATTTTTTGAAATTATTTTGAACTATGATTTTAATACATTTATATGCTGCGTAGAAGGGGGTTATATTTATCATTAAAAAAGAAAGACGTATTTGGTCATGTTTATCTGCACATTTGCCAATCAAGCCGAGTTCATTAAAAGGGGTCCAGTACTTTTTGCAATGTCAAACATCAAGCAGCAGCAGGAAGTCAAAAACAGTTAAACAACCGATGTCTATTAACTTTTTTAAAATTTGTATCAGAAAGCTTGCCCCTTTTCAGAAGTACACCTCCATTTTCTCTTCGTTTTATGATTTTTGAGCTACGATAGCGTGAAAGCGGAAATTTTGACTGCGCTGCTTAATTTGAAGGTTGCAAAGTTGTGCAAAAAGATCCAACTGGTGCTTTATTTGTTTACAATTAATTAAGAATAAGCTGTCATCTGGCACTAAAATAAATTATCCTGTTAGGTCGATTTCTACAAATGCAAAAGATTTCTTTGGCTGGCACCTGTCTTTTGTTTGAAGCTCTTACAAATGCGTATAATTTAGGGTATGCTGCCATATCTGTTCCATTTTTAATCGCAGTATTGTCGGAGGTTTTGAATAAATGCACCAAAGCATAGAAGATTTAAATAACTTTGACATTTCCTTCATAAATTCCAGCATACTCGACCCATTTAGGACTTTGTAAGATGCTTTCTATCCACGAAAACAAGTGTACATATTCTTTATAATAGGCTTTACTGGATTTGAATTTTGCACCTACCAACTTTTCTTCTGCTTCTGCTTTTGCAACAAGCCACAGATAATATAGAGACACGAAGGTGGTTAATATTTGGGTTTTACACGTGTTTTGTGATGCAAGTAAATCAGCTTACGCTGCAGTAATATTTTTACGATATCCTGTCAGTGAAAATAAATTTGTTATTCAATTTGTGCAAGCGAAGACAAAAGTGTGTCCTCTCAAACCGGCATCAATACCTAGATTAGAGTTGATGGCTCGTTTGATTGGTGTTAGATTGGTTAAATATCAGTAAAAGCTATTTTTATTTGTGCAAAATAGAGTTAATGAGATTTTAAAAACTAGTTCACTTAGCAAATGGAATTATTATATTCCAAGTAGTAAAAACGCAGCGGATTTGCCTTCACGTGGATGCACTCCTGAAAAATTGTTAGAGATAATGTCGTTAAATTAAACACAAAACACAAAACCTTCCCTATACTAATTTCAGTTAATTAAATTAGTATGGGGAAGGTTTTGTGTTTAATTTAGCGACTTCATTCTACACAACCCCATTAAGAGTTTCATCACATCATGGATACATCTCATTCATCAAAATCAAGTTTGATGGACGATTAGACTCCGACAGTCTTCTTCTGATATGTTTTGCCTATGACCTTCGTTCCCGTCCTGAATTTCTTCACAGGAAACCGAATTGTAAAATAATAAGAGGCAGGTAATTACGAGTAGTAGAGGTGATTTCATGGGGAATTAGAAACACAATAGCTAGGTACTTTGCGGATTTGCGTTTCTGATGCAATAAATATCAAGAAAGGTCAGAAGTATCAATGACGCAAATGAATTTTTTGAAACTATTATTACAATTTTTATTTTGATATGTGTGAGTTATATTTGTTATTAAAAAACGGAGTTTTCACCTAGCAAGGTTACAATCATCCTGACCTATAGTAGATGAGAAGCGCAGTTTGCATTTTTTCACGTTCCATTCTTTGTTTTCTAAGAAGTGGCAAATTGAAGTGATATAGTTAGAAGCAAAGTTATTGATGAAATCAATTGATGATTGTAATCCAATAAATTCAAATTGAGGCAACGGTTGGGTAACCAGTATTTGGGAACTATTGTGGTTCTAATACAGCAACCTTTAAGTACCAAGCTAGGAATTTCTGTGGATAGTAAACCTAGAAAATTGCTGTCATAAATTGTCAAAGGTAACAATTCTAGTATCGAGTAATATGGACTTTGGATCTGTGCAGGAATTGAAAGTTTGCTATTCCAATCTTCTTATTAGATAGAAATTTCTTATGATACCTACAAAGGAACCTGTGCGCACTTCAGCTTCTTCGTATGTATAGGGAAAATATAACTGAAGCAGCAGACAACATACAATGGCATCCAAGGACTTATAATTATATAGTTCGAACTATTTCATAATTTATTGACAGACAGCCAGGGCCGGTGAAAGGCTATTTGGCGCCCTAGGCGAGATGTTCTCAGCGCGCCCTTCCGGAGGTTATTCCTAGGTACCAGTACCAGGCAAAAAATAGAAAGTGGCGTTCATAAATACTTTATTGTGTTTTCTTCAAATACATAATGACATAACGACATAACGTGTAGGCGGTGTAGGTATACAAAAACGCATATCCAAAGATATTAGGGTAGGGATATACACATAAAAAATCAAAAATTCATCTTCCTTGCCTTATTTCTCGCGAACTGCTGGACTATCTGTTCTAAATTTACATTCCATTCCTCCTTCGATTCAATTGAGATCATTGCCAAGTCCACGAGCCTATTCTGAGACATTGTTGACCGCAAAAATGTCTTTATCAGCTTTAGCTTGGAGAAACTGCGTTCTCCGCTCGCCACCGACACTGGAAGCGTCATTAAAAAGTACCGGGAAGTTTTTTGGAGCCGCCGACGCGCTGTCGCTGAAAGATGTTGCTTAATTTTGGCGCCCTCTGAAGCTTGGCGCCCCAGGCAGCCGCCTATGTTCGCCTTGTGGTTTAACCGGCCCTGCAGACAGCAATCGTTGATAGGGAATAGCTTCTTTCAGTATTGCATAACTGTTGATTTTTTTTGTTTTAATTTTAGTATACGCTTTATATAAGTATTGCTTATTTATGTAAGGTATGCTTAACTTTTATTCTTACCAGTAAACGCTAATATAGCCGTCTCTTACTCAGCCATTAATTTTCTTACTGGTTATACGGCCTAACGGCCTAACTGCTCTCTTAAGTATCTCGAAAGTTTTTACCTTACCTTACGAAAAATGACCACAGAGAAGAAAAAGATTTTAAAAAACTGGTAGAAAGTGTTTTAAGGCGCTCGTGAGCGTTTTTTCCGCCCCCGAGCATTTTTTTCTGCTCCCGAGCGCTTTTTCCGCTCACGAGCACTTTTCCCGAGCGCTCGCGATAAACCGCTCGATCACGTTTAGGAGTGCTCGGAACTCGCGAGCGACTTCGCTTTGGAAAACAGCTGGATGCTCGCGCGCATTTTTGAGCCAATTAGAGCGCTCGTCGATTTCTTTCAGTTACTGCGCTTGGTTTTAAAAACGTTACTGCAGCATTAATTTCTAAGGTAATTATAACATATTAGATATCATTGTAAAGGGAATTTCAAGCTCTTTAAGAATATTACAGAAAAAAGTAGGTAACCGTTCTATCTTCTATTTAACAAAATAGTAATTTGTTTTATGCTGCTCCTTTGTTTTTGTATCACTTGCTTTTTTGAATATGTAGCTTTATCAGAAATTGAAAGTAGAGTATTTTTGCTTCTTGCACTTTTTTGCTATCTCCAATAATAAAAGAAATATACGCTTGGACCAATCGCACTGTATGCAGGGTGAGTTTTTTCCTATGTTTAGTATGGAGATCTTGTACACCGTAAGAGATACAAAACCGCTTAAATAGGCAAAGACTTGCAGAATTTTATGTAGATTAAGTTTCCCTTTAGAGCATCTTCTAACTGTACAAATAACGAAGTTATGGTCAAAAAACCGAAAAATTTTCGAAAATGCGCTGCCGTTTAAGCTCAGCTTTCTAGTGCTAAGCAAATACTAAACATTGGAAAAAGTTCACTCTGTATAATATTTAAGCCAACAGAAGAGAATTTAAAATAATTTGAGGAAGACAGAGATTCTTATTTACGCCTCGAGTTACGCTTATACTCGTACTAAGATATTTCGTCGATTAAGCCTGTTACATTTTTTCTAACTCACGTTCCATACATTCATATAAAAAATGCTAATATCTGGCAATAGAAACGCCTCCTTTAGTTGTACCTTGCGCTAATGTTTTGTGCGATCAATGATGTATATCAATCCATGACTAAACTTTCCTCTAAAAATAATGCAAGAATGAAACTCATTCCACCATCAGAATCGTTCCCAGAAGTTCGGCTGTATGCGAAAGTCCATTACCATACAAATAAACGCCATCTACCTCTTTGGAAATAAAAATGTATCTTCTAACAGTTAACAAATATAATTGAACCCATACATAGGACCAATTAAATAATTTTACAGATCAAAGTTTTACTTTCGTAATGCTCATTTCTTAATGTAGTTAATGTTGGAAGATTTCCACTTCTACCTATTTACCTGCAACAACGAAAATTTTTCAGATAGTTCAATTGAATTTATGGGAATTGTAATTAATTTTACCTGAAACCGTCAAGAAAATCTAAATTTCAGGGCAATTTTGACAACAGAAAGTTGATCTTTACCTGACTAGTACTGTAATATTTTTATTTCATACTATCTAGTAATCGCCGCTTTCCCAGACCCATTTGAGTCTGGTAAATCGTATTTTACCAGACTGAAAACTTTTACCAGACTGGAAATGTTGCCTAGCAACATCAACTGACATCCATATAAACCTAATATATTAATGTGTCAAACTACTGTCAGATCAAACAAATCAAGTGATCGCCTTTGCTTTCATTTGAATGCGTACAACATTCTAATCAAAAATTGTATGGCATTTTAATAGAAAAAAGAGCAGTATGAAATAAAATGTTTTACATTATTTGTATGTTAAATCAGTTAACGTTACTCGTTTCGAAATTCCTGCCTCAGCTACGCTTCGGCAATAAACATCTCACTCGTTAACGTAAAACTTGATTTACCATACTCATATGTAAATAACTATGCCTGACTCCCATTACAGTCCTAGTACATGCAAAATAACAATTAGATCGGTCATTGAATAAGTTATTCAATCAACGATTGGATAATTATAATGCAGACTATGTGGATATTTTTAAATATTAATATACCTACACAAAGGATAATGGTTTTTTATTACTAACAATTAATGGAATATGTGTGGAAGTAATTATTCCTTTAGTTTTGCGCCAGTCATTACAAGGTTTGCACGCCTTTTCGTATCTTTTTCTTGACTTTGTGGAGAGCGAATATTGCACTACGGCAGCCGCAGCTTCGGCTACATTATAACAACGTCTTGCGTAGGTACTCTTCTTCACTGATACCTGCTTTTGAGCCTAGTTGGCTGTACAGTTGAAAAGTACAAAGCATAAAATGCAAACTGCATTAAAAATGACACTGACTGTTTTAATTATTTTGAAATCTCTATGGAAACAAGTGATTTTAGCATGCGTGATTAGGTATCAAAATTTCTACATATGAATAATTTAATTTGGAAAAGTTATCTACATGTTGCGGTTTCAGGTAAAATTTTATACATAATACGTCATGAAAGTGAGTCCACCTGACTTGGAGGCATTAAAGAGATACTCGGACGCTGCGCGTCCTCGTACTTTTCAATAAACCTCCGCGTCATGTAAACGGCCACTTTCATGACTTATTATGTAAATAACTATTTATATATCGATACGCGTAGGAGGTGTAATTTTGATTAACTATAATAGTATATTAAGATACAAGTGTATAATCAAGTCTTTAAAGCACGCGCAACGAGTTTAAGGGCACGACGCAAAGCGGAGTGCCTTTAACGTTGCAAGTGCTTTAAAGACCAATTATACACGTGTATCTTATAGTATTTTTTATTATACCTGCAGTATAATTTAAAAATAGGAAATACAATGAAATCATATTGACGTTATACTCGAATACATGTCTAATTAAGTGGGCTGGGTGTTCGTAATTTCACGATTGCCATGGAAATGTCACTTGACGTTTGCTTATAAAAATCATCGTCTTTGTGAATTAAACAATTTCCGTTGAAAAAGATAATACACCGTCCATTAAATCGATTGTTGTAAAATCTAAACACACGTTGGTAGGTGTAAAATCCAAATCCAGTAAACCCTATTATAAAGAATATGAAAAGTTGTTTCCATGGATGGAATAGGAAGTTACGAATAAAGTCTTAAATGCATCCATAATGCTGGCATATATGAAGGAAATGTCAAAGGTATTTAAATCTTCTATATTTTGGTGCATTCATTCAAAACTTTAAAGCAATGATGCGATTAAAAAGTGGAACAGATTTGGAAGCATGCCCTAAATTACGCGCGTTTGTGAAAGCTTCAACCAAAGGATAGGTACAAAAGCCAAAGAAATGTTCTGCATTTACAGAAAGCGACCTAAGAGGATTTTTTATTTCATCCAGATGACAGTTTCAAAAGTCATACTTGAAGTATCGTTACTTAGCAACTTTAAAGCACGTGTGTTTTAAAGGCCCTTTTTCGCACGCATTTGAGTGTTTAAAACGGAGATTGTGATTCAGGTATAATAAAAAATAAAGTGTCAGTGATATCTAAATGCAAATAGATAACAATCTCTCGGTCTTGATTACTATAATCATGTAACTTTGACCTGCATATGTAAAACTTTTATAAAGAAAATGGAAATTTGGCCCAAATTGAAATAATTAATCAATTAATAATTCAATCAATGACTAATTGTTTTATGATTTTCAATACAGCATACTTACGTTTCATGAAAAACCTTTCTACATCTTTTATTGGCTCTTTGTTCTCCCTTCAGCCCCAAGCAGCTTGGACGATTAGACTGCGAGCGTCTTCTTCTGATATGTTTTGCGTATGATCTTCGTTCCCGTCCCGAATTTCTTCACAGGAAACCGAATTGTAAAATATCAAGAGGCAGGCAATTACGATTAGTAGTGAAGGTTTCATGGTGAATTAGAAACGCAATACTTCCTTCGCGCCAATTGTGTTTCATATACAAAGAACATCAACAGAGGTCAGAAGTGTCAATGACGCAAATGGATTTTTTGAAACTATTTATTATAATTTTTATTTTGGTATATTTATACACGGCGTCTGTGAGAGTTATATTTATTACTAATAAACGGAGTTTTTCAGCTAGCAAGGTTACATTCATCCCGACCTATAATAGATGAGAAGCGCAGTTTACATTTTTGCACGTTCCATTTTTTATTTTTTAAGAAGTTTTAGGATACAGTACGATGGATGAAATCTATTGATGGCTATAATTCAATAAATTCAAATTGAGGCAAAGGTTGAGTAACTAGTATTTGGAAACTATTGATGGAATGCAACAACCTTTAAGTACCTAGGAATTCGTCTGGATGGTACCTAAACCTGGCAAATTGATGTAATAAATTGTCAACGGTAACATTTCTATTATAGTATGGAGTAATATGAACTTTGGATCTATTAGATCTATGCAGGAATTGAAAGTTTGCTTTTCCGATCTTCTTATTAGATACAAGTTTCTTATGATACCTAAGACACCAGCTATGCGCATTTCAGCTTCTTCGTATGCATAGGGAAAATCCACTGCAATATTTTTATGCAACTGAAGCAGCAGACAAGATACAATGTCATCCAAGAAATTACTATAATTAGTTCCAACTGTTTCATAATTTTTCGACAGACAGCAATCGTTGATCGAGGATAGTTTCTTTGAATTGCTTATTTACATAAGGTAGGTATACTAACTTTTACCAGAAAGTGCTAATATAACCGTCTGCTGTTCAGCAATTTTCTTACAGTTTACAAGGCCTAACGACAACTACACCTGTCCATTTTAACTCTCTTAAATACATAGAAAATTATTACCTCATCTTACGACAAGTCACCACGGAGAAGAAAAAGGTAAGCGTTAGCAAATTTATTTAAAAGCGTACATCGAAACGAAACGAACAATTCTACAAATCAAAAATTTTACTTTCGCAATGCTGCATTTATATTATGCTTGATGTTGGGCGGACCTCCATCCTCTTCTCATTTACCTGCAACAAACAAAATTATTGAAACAAATTTTCCTTTTACAGCGGTTCACACAACTACTAAAGCTGGATTTACATTTGGAGCTTACCCCCCAACTTTCGGCATACCCCACCAACCCTTTGGTACCCTTTAAAGCACTTTGCGCCAACCGCAGTTGCATCATTCTGAGATATTCCACTTATTCTGCGATTTCGCGCAAATTCGTTAGACTCCGATGCCGATACAAAACTTACGCACAACAGGTACGCGGTAAGCAAAATTGCTAACGTAAAGATCTTCATGTTGACCTGTTGGACGTAACAGCGAAACTATGCGCTGTTCGAAGTCAATCAATTATTTATGCATCTAATTAACGCGTGGGGTTCGCTAATATTATCGGTCTGATAAAACTTAGGTATAGAGAGCTTACCGTGCCCAACTTTTCTGCACCTTGAAAGTATTCTTTCATATCCTGGATTGCAATTGACTTTAATCAAGTTCTGGTCATCTTTATGAAGGACGTTCATTCGCTTACGTCTGTATACCACTACTGGGGCTCCTCCAATTACATACGCAATCATAGTGAATGCACAAACAAAAAAGAAGAGAAAATTGCGAAAGTGCATGTTTCGGAGTGGACAGTGCTACTATGTACTAAGAATAAAAAATTGGAAGTACCTACGCGAATTCTAAAGGAAGCCGCAAGGTATGATATTCTATCAACAAGGCGATCGCTAAATAAGAGGAAATGTATTTATCTTTCTAATTAAGTGTTTTTCTAAAAAATTTGTAGTTTTCGGGTTTAGTCGAATGTTGTTAGAGATACACCTCCTGCCCTTTGGTCTAGGGGTATTTTTCCTTTAATTACAATTCCCAAGTATAAATTACGCAGTTACAATACCTATTAATCCAACTAATTAACCTTACAACGGTAAAAAGGATGTGGATTCCATAACCTCCAGACTGAGATAAACGGCAAACAAACCGCAAAACAAACTTTTAAAAACTAATTGATTGAGGTATTGACCTTCTTATTTTAGCAATAAATGGTTGTTGTACGTACCCAAATGTTTTTCGACACTTTCCGTTAACTCTATCGAATCCTTTTTGGCAGTTTACTTTAATAACAGCAAATTTTTTTAGATGCACTTTCGCACCTGCTATTATATCAAGTGCTAATACATAGACAAGCAGAAGTAGGTAATAGGAAATCCGCATGTTGCAGGCTACAGTTGGCATTCAAGGGTTAAATTGTCTGCCGAAATTAAATCAACTAAACGTCACCGCAAACATTAATCTAAATACATGGTTAATTTGATATGAACCAACTTCATGTGAATTTTCTGATTTAATTTACACACTTCCGCGCACTTGTTTTGATCCATACATGATCTATATGCACGATTGTACTTATGTGTAAATTATCGTAGGTAAAAGAGAAAAAGTTGATGGATCAACACCGATAGATTACATCGTGACTTCTTTCATTGTGCCACGACCGCCCTTATCTTTCGGAGTATATGCAGTACATGCGCAATTTCATTCGTGGAATTTTATTTTGGAGGGCTACGTGAATCGTGAATGTTAATTGAACCACTAACTTTTTCAGACGTGAATGTAATTAGTGTATACCCTAGCTTTGGGCCCATACACATATCTTGTGAGCTTTTGGTTTAGGCAAAAATCAAAAGTCCTGTGGGGTAACACCGGCTGATACTAGTTTGTACCTATTTTGTGCGCTCTATACCAAAATAGGTATGTGCAAGAAGGCTGGAAAGTACCTATATCAAAAGATTATTCACAGGTGCTAGATGAACAACAATGGCTAATGGCAAACCATAATACTAAGTTGGTGGCATGATGATTTTCATTTTTTAGTCATTTGGAATTAACGAATTTAAAATAAAATATGTGTGCCAGATGCTTTTTAATTTTAATTAAAGAATTTGAGGATCATTTTTGAGGTATTCGAAATGCTAAATCACCTCCATTTAGTTTTTTATTATAGACCCAAGTACAATGAAAAGTTAATTCATTTAACCCCAGTTAACCAATTATAAAGCAAGGATTTGCTCCATAATGCTCCATCTGCATTGTTTTTCTTGGTTGTGAGATTGCTTATGAAATTAGGAAAACTATTTTTGTGGAAAATGTTTTACTGACTCATAAACTTTCGCGAGCATACCATACCCCGAAGTTTTGTCGCAATCGGATGAGCGGTTTAGACAGGCATAATCACACTGTGCACATTTTAAATCCTTTGAAAATCTGTGTGTTAAGAGATCTCGTTTCAGAAAATTTGTTGCTACATTACAATGTGTACACTTTAAATCTATTGAAGAGTTGCATATTTTTAAGCGGTAAGAGTTTCTCTTATTCAGCTTTATAAAAATTACTAACTACGGGTAAACATGTTTTTGAAATTAGTCTGGGATTTACATATCGTAGAAGTATCAAAATTTAGTGGATTGAATTGGTTTTCCAAATAAATGGCATGCTTGGTGGAAATTCAAGGAATAAATTAAAAGGACGAAGGAAAATGAAATTGATTGACGACTTGAAGGAGGCAGAAGAAGGATATGAAGGATTATGGAGGAAAGCAAAGGAGTCGGTTTTGATTTCCTTCTGGACAAGCGGGGTCGATAATCCCCTACAATCTGTGTATTGTTGTAATCGGAAATCAGTAAAGGTTGGAAGCTTTTGAAAGGTGGATATGGAGATGAGTCATGAACTCAAATGAATTGATGAGATAAGGATTGTAGAAGTATTAAGTAGAATTGGAAAGGAAAGATGTATGTTAAAGATCATAAAGCCAAAGAAAATAAACTAGATTGGATATGTATTAAGAAAGAACTGTTTGGTGTAGGAAGTAATCGAGGGAACTGCTCAGGGAGGAAGGAAACGATGAGGAGGAATGAGGAAATTAGTTAACGACCTGAATGGGGGAGGATATGAAGGAGTAAAGAGACAATCTTTAATAGTTCCCTTTTAATAACAGCCGAGAATAGTTAATAATTTAGTTTTGGCACGTCACTGTGAATGTGATTATAGGGTGATGTAGTCTGGTCCTTCAACTTCCGTCTTGATGAGTCGATTCTTAGATAATAGAAGGTGTTATATCATTATTCCAAGTGGCATGGTGGTGTAGAGCGGATGTAGAGTTTTATAAAGTAAACTATATCTCTGGAATTATTAATCCAATTTCATTAATCTTTTTTTTAATGAAAGCTCTGTACATGTGCTATAAATATTGTTATTAGTACTTTTTCGATAAAATCAACTGTTAATAAGTAATTTAAAAAAATGTTTTTTTTTAATTGTTTCCCGAATGTTCTTTACTGCCTGTATTAATACACAATGAATGGTAAAATTATGCGCATATTATGCAGAATATTAGTGAAAAATATGCACAGTTTTGATATATATGCACACGTATACAAAATTATATATGTTGCATAATTTCTAATAAAAAAGGAATTACGATAAACACTAGAAATAAGATGTTTCTCTAAGTTTTCTGCACGAAATGATTGTCTCCTGTCGCTAAGAATTAATTTATAAGCACTAAGCAGAGAAACTATACTCTACATCAACTAAAGTAATAGGTGCATTAGAAATGGACAAACTATTGGGAGCAATTTCCAAACCTTCCACAATATCACCCATCATCACCGTAGAGAAAGAGAAAGATAAAATAGTTTGGAAATGATGAAATTAAACATCAATTAAATCAATAAATCTTCCTTTCGGCTTTTGCAGTATGTTTCATTATCGCGTCCCTTATAAAAATCCGACAAAATGTATTAAAAATTGAAATTAAAATCGATTAAATCTAACAACAATTTAAATACATCTTAAAATATGCAATTCTATCATGTAAATGCAAAGGATATCAAAATATACAAGATACGCAAGAATAAATTCGGTTTAATAAATATTGCAAACCGAAGATACACAAAATCTCATAAGACAACCAAAAGTAATCGATTATTCACAGCTTTAGCTGATCAAACAATTGAATTAAAATTAAAATAATTACTAAATACAAAAATCATTGTAGTTACGTCTATAGATATATTGTAGCCATGATCAAATAACAAATGATGATGAAATTGGTATGTGCGGATTATGTTTCTAAACCTTCACTTCTCTACTTTAATTGAACTTGTATCTCAATTTGGACGTCACTGGGTTCGTTGTAATTACAGATGTAAAATTGGCTCTTTAATGGTGAAAAAACTCCCTTTAACGAGTACTGGGAAAACCTTAAAGAAGGCTTCAGATAAGCGACGATAAGTACGTCAAAATCACAGAGATGCCATTCCGGAAGCAGCAAAAATATGAAAGATAACCCTAAGTTTGGCTTCCATATCACCTCACGTAGAATTACCAAGCTGGCTCTTGACAACTACCATTACGTAATGCTAATAACTTAAAGTGTACAAGCGCATGCAAACTGCCAACTTGTGGATACGTCACTGAAGAAAAGGAAGAAGGAGCAAATTTTAGTGTATATGAAACTTTTGAAAGTAACGATGGGGTTAATTTAGTTTTCATTAAATGTTAAGAGTTAAAAAAAATTCCGTTCGTTTACTTTATGCATTAGTTACTAATTGTTGATTTTATCGGAAATGTAGTTATGACAATATTGTAGCACACACAAAAGCTTTCATTTAAGAAAATGATGAAGTCGGACCAATAGTTCTAAAGATAGGTATAGTGAAACTCAACATCCGCCATCTTGGATTGGCCGCCATTTCTATTAGCTACCATTTTGAGATGGCAATTATCGTTTTTTTACATCCTAATGCATGTATCTAACCGTGGTAAAAAGGAAAATTGGTACCCCCAAATTATACCATTTCCTTAAATTTAGCCAGTTGGCCCATAGACTAACCATACCGTTTCAATTTCAGTTTATTAATTCACGGTTTCAGATCGTAGAAAACCTCGGACAATCGTGCGAGCCTCATGGAAAGATATGATGTTAGAATTGCCAGTGATTTTGATCGATGACAGGAATATACAATCAATAATAGGTATCAGATTGACAAATTGTACATATTCACCATATGTAATAATACCTAATTAAGGGTATATTATTAATTTTAATTTGTAAAGTAAACTCAGTCTACTTTAATAAACGATCATTATGTTGCAATTAAAATTATAAGATGAATACCTGTTTTCCTGAATTTGACAAACTGAAATCTAATGGAACTGGCCAGTTTTATATAAATAATTAAACAGAAAAAGTCAGCATTGAAAGTGTGTGTTTTTATCTGTGATATGAGTAGGTATTCTAAAACAGTAAATATCGCAAGCCACGTAATATACACAACTCGCTTTAATGCATTGTACAGTAGAACATTCAACTTGCGCTTATACACACTTCGATCATTCATTGGGAATCTAGAGGGTGGGTCCAAAGGCGCGCATAATTACCAGATTTATACCTATCTTTATTCATAGCACAGCGATATTGAGATGAACAATAAACACAGTGGAAAGTTATTCTACTTTCCCCCGATTACTATTTACAAGGCCTAACGACAACTACTGCCCATTATAACTTTTAAACACATGGAAAATTATTACCTTCCCTTACGAAAAGTTACCAGAGAGAACAACAAACTAAAGCGTTAGCGATTTTATTTAAAAGCGTACATCGAAACCAAACGAACAATTCTACAAATCAATAATTTTACTTTCGCAATTTTCCATTTATACTATTCTTGATGTTGTCGGACCTCCATCCTCTTCTCATTTACCTGCAACAAACAAGATTATTTAAACAAATTTTCTCTTTTGCTTGGTTCATACTACTATACTAAAGCTGCATCTACAATAAATTGGTGCTTACCCTCCAATTTTCGGCATACCCCACCAACTTTTTGGTACCCTTTAAAGCATTTTGTGCCAACCGCATTTTGATCATTTTGGCGTAGCCCACTTATTGCTGATACAACATTTAAGCACAACAGGTAAACGGTAAGCAAAATTGCTAACGTAGATATCTTCATGTTAATCTGTTGAACGTAACAGGGAAACTATGCTCTGTTCGAAGTCAATCAAATATTTATGCAACTAATTAACGCGTGTGGTTCGCTATTATCGATCTGATAAAGGTAGGTACAGGAACCACCAGCTCAGAAGGTCAAAGATGATACATCCCCACTATTCATATTCTATTAATTGCACCTATTGGGGCGCCACTGAGCCACATTGGTTCCTCCTGCAAATACTCTTTCGTATCCTACATTACAATTTACCTTAATTATGTTATTTTATTGTCATGGTTTCGCTTCCATTACATACGCTATCATAGTGAAAGTGCCAATTCTAGAGGAAATCGTAAGGTTTCAGTATGATGCTCAAAACGAGTTATCTAAATAAGAGGAAATGTATTTATCTTTCTAATTAAATGTTTCTTAAAATCTTGTGCTTTTAATCGAATGTTATTAAATGCACCCCCTGCCCTTTGGTCAAATGACAGTTTGCCTTTAATTACAATTCCCCCCTATAAGTTACATAACTACAGAATTATTAACTAATTAACCTTAGAGCGGTAAAAAGGATGTGGATTGCATGACTTCCAGACTAAGATAAACGGCAAACAAACCACAAAGCAAACTTAAAAATTAATTGATTGGGGTATTGACCTCCTAATTTTAGCAATAAGATTGTAGTTTTGCAGTTATCAATTTACCGGACTTTTTTTGTCAAAAATTCCTATGGAAAGTGGTACTTTTTTTACGATTTTTACTGTGCGTTTCCATGGCTCAATTTTTGAGTGACAGTAAATCGCTAGTGTCAATAATATTATTCAATTATGGGTTATCTATATGCAAACAAATTTCGTTTACAACACGTGTTGAAAGTGTTTTTTTTTTCATGAATTTGCCTATTTCACTCGGGCAATTATCACTTTCAAAACTCGTGCAAATAAATTCAGTTTAGGAGATGTTCAACACTACGCAAGTTGAAAAAAACACCTGTCTTCTGCATTATTTTCATTAAAAAAATGAATATAATAACGAATATAAGGGTAGTAACTAATGTGGTATCCTTTTGTGTACATTCCTAGTATTCTTCCACAACGTAAGATTGCAGAAGACAATTTTTTAGGTATGGCAAAATGAAAACTTTTTTGCCCTTGGGCTACTCAAAACAATGTTTTAGTTTTTCTGTTATAAATTCGTATAGCATTTTCTTAAGAGAGTTGTGAACGTGTTTGAAATTGGGTTGAAAAGCCCTAGTCGCGTTGAAGACACCCAAAAGAAATTTGACCGTTAAGCAATAACATCCAGAAAGCATTGTGTGTAACATACGTGTACATTTTTCTGCATTTATTTTTCACCCTTTCTTGACCTTCTGGACAAGCGGGAATAATCAATCTATGCTGATGTATTACGTCTGGTCGCATTGTGTTGTCAAGGTCGCCACTAGTTGGAATTTCATCTTTGGCAATTGCTACTGAATGGCAATACAACAATAGGAAGGTAACCGTTACACAACAAATCACTCGGTGTTTACATTTTAAAGCTCTTATCGACATCTACACGCTATTAAAGATGAAATGGAAGCTGTCACGCTGAACCCGTTTGAGACATGAAAATTAAAAAAACTTTCATTTGAAATTATTTCAAATATTCTGATCTGAGGTTAATAAAAATTTGTTTATACAGGGTGTTTGTGTGCTACCGTCACCTTAAATTTTTTTAAATGACAACCTAGGTCAAAGTTTACTGCATTATTTTCTAATGTAATGTAATGATTAAGGTATACTTAGTAAGAAAGAAAAAGAACCTTCTGTGACGTATCACATGACTTATTTTAGAGGTCGCACTCACTTGCTGTATGAAAAAAAATTGTTTTAAGTCTCAGACGATGTGTAATAATTTCAAATGGAAGCGTTTTAATTTTCATGTCTATATCTTAAACGGTTTGAGCGTGAGAGCTTCCGTTCCATCTTTAACCTCGGCGCTATAGCCAAGAAATATGTGAAAATTTGTCAAATTGCCGTGGGCTCTATTTTTCGAAGGATCACGATGCCTTCTTGCCTAGCGTAAAATTTCAGATATTTTCAAATGTTCACAACTTTGGGATACACTATCTTGGGGTAGAAATTCTGGAAAGCTGTAAATTTTTTTTGGTGTGGTTCCAAAAACGACACATTCTCTGCTCTTGGATTATTTGAAAAAAAAATGTTTTTGTTCCTTCTATCATTAATTTGTATAGAACTTTCCTAAGAGAAAGTTGTGACTTCACCTTTGTCTGTATCCGGAAAATTCTGATGAAAATTACAAAAATTTCAAAGTAGCTGAAGGCCTACTCATTGAGGGCACCCGAAAGAAACTTAACTGCTAAATAATAAAGTTACGTCTATTAAGCATTTAAAACGTACAACTTACGTAAAAAATTTTCTGCATCTATTCTTGACCCTTTCTTGACCTTCTGGGCACGCGGGTTTAATCAAACTACCCAGACTTGGTAGCGTATCGTTGTCAGGATCGCTACTAGTTACGTTTTCATCTTCGGCAATTGCTACTGAATTGCAATAGAACAATAAGGTAACGGATACCAAACAAATCACCAGGAACGATTTCATTTTTAATACTTCTTGCTACGAAGCAAACTAATAACGGAGACATTCGCTTTCGTCGTTGCTCACCGCGAAATCAGGCCATGGTCTATTAAAATTTACAAGCGATACCGATTTCTACATTTGATCCGTGCACAAAAACTAGAAAATAACTCTCCAAGACTCGGAAAGTAACAATATTTTACATTATTAGCCAGGTAAGTGGGTTTTTACTGGCGATAGGAGACGATCCTAAGAAAGAAAATGGTTGTAGCAGGTCCAAAATTAGTGGTAGAGGGGACCAGAACAAGCACTTTTTCCTCGACTTTTTCTAACTAAGCTGTGGGCACAAATAGTTATTTGTACAACTAGTTTTGAAAGTGATACTTTTTCATGAATTTGCAGTTTGATTAATGAGGGCGAAGGTGCAATTCTTTACCAGACAAAAAAGATGATCCGAAGTTTATGAAATCTGTATTCTTTCTAAGTTCATAAACAAAAATGTTTAAACAACATTTCATCTCTAAATTGCAGTAGCTAGAGACATATGGTGTTCGATTAATTTCATCATTTATTTGCGTGTATAGGTCTCGAAGCAATTGTCACAGTTTGCAACATACATTTTAACCAAATTTATTTTATGAAACTGCATACACAGTATGTCAGTGGTGGTAATATTTTGACTAAGCAAGTTAAGTTACTTTTATGACAGTGATCATAAAGAATTAATTTGAATCCCATAAGTTTCTGTTAAGATAATTAACTTTTTTAGAAGCGCTGTAAATTTAATTAAAAAAAAAACTGTACAAAATGGTTAAGTACATTACAATAATAAAGTAATAAATCCACATCCACAGCCACGTACCTGTGCTGACGAAAACGCAGTAAAATGGATGTAAGATAATCCTATACGGCAGGGCCAACAAGACAATTGCGTGAATGTTTCACAAATAAAGAGAAAATGATTATGTTTACACAATGGACACCTAAAGATTTAATTTGTTATTCATTTCAAACTTTAATGGTTTGAATAAAATATCTCTGAAATAATATAAATTATCAAACCTTAAATTTATGTTGTCTCAAAAATTGTGTAATTTTTTCACAAATTAAAAATTCATTATATTTAGAGATCCACGGATACTACCCTGTTCAACGCTGCGCCATCTTGGAGTAGCAATTTTGAGAAAATTCTTACAAAATTGGAAAGAACACACCTGTAAACATACGTAAAGTCGTTAATTTTATACCCTTAGACGTGCCTCCAAGAGCGAAACACCACGGATCTTCGGTTTATTGATAAAAATGTTTGTTTGGTGACCTCGACCACCCATTTTTAGAAAAGAGAATTGAATGATAATAGCTATTTATACAGGGTGTTTTTTTGGGAGCTTTAGTTAAAAGTTTCTGAGAAAGTAAAACAGGTAGGTTTTTGAAAATTTGTACTTAGGAGTTACTCTGAAGGCCGAATCGATGTAAAATATTTTCAAAATGGCCGCACTTCCGGAAACACCGGAAATAGATAGTAACTTCGTTATTTTAAATGGCAACCCCTATTTTTTATTGCATTTTTGGATTCTACGTGAAATTTCACTTCTTTTGATACCCATATGTCGATATCTACCATTTATGGTTTTTAAGTTATTTTGACTTTAAGAAAAAAAATGGCGGATGCAGATGGTACCTTGATAATTGATTACTTGCAAACGGTTGTAGTCATGGCAACCTATTTTTATCAGTGCATAGAGAATGAATAGGGCTTTCTTTTAGTGCACTTAAAAAAAAGTTAAGTTGCGTACGACCGCCCCTATGGATATCCAAATTTATGAAACTTCAAAGACTAAAAACTCAGTTTTTTTAAGTAGAATGACCATGTTCTTACTATTCCATGAGATAGAGAATCGAAATGGGCATATTTTGACAATACATGTTCCTATAGCTATCTTTAACAGTTTCTGACTTATTCCCATTTTATTGAATTGACACTATTTTTTTAGGATTTTCTTTTTAGTAGTCGGCCATGATTCTATAACAATTGAATTTTAAACAAATCTAGTGACACTAATCCATCACCCACTGTTATAGGTTAACATAAGTATTTCAAAAATCGAAAAATGACTCGCAGTGGTTTCATCTATTTTGAAATTTAATTGTTATTTATGGTGAAATGGGCAGAATCGCGGCGCGTGCTTTCCGTACATTCATTCGAAAACTAGAACGAAATTGTATGAATTTTGGAAATTTTGTACCCCTAAAAAAAAACAAACCGTTGAAACACAAGTGATACAAAGCTCTACAAGAGAATATTTAAGAAAATTAATTGAATTGAAAATGCAAGATTAACAAAATAAATTCAATGCAAAATATAAAAAACTTCGTTGAAACATTTTTGGTATGGAATTGTTGCTAGAACAGATATCGCATTACCTCTCTTAATTTCCAGACTTATACGTTGTTTAAGAAATTCAGTTGAACGACTCTGTTTAGATTTTTCAAAAATTTTCTGTCCTATATCCTTAATAAATGATTTATTTATTAATGAATGATTTAGACTAGAACTAGAATCAGTGGTATTAAAGAATCCATTCCTTGATTTGTTTAAAATTCGATTGTTATAAAATCATGGCCAACTACTAAAAAGAAAATGCGAAAAAAAATGGCATCAATTCCTAAATCAATTCAATGAAATGGGAATAAATCAGAAACTGTTAAAGATAGCTATAGGAACATGTAATATCAAAATATGCCAATTTCGATTCTCTATCTCATGCAATATTAAGAACATGGTCATTCCATTTAAAAAAACTGAGTTTATAGACTTTGAAGTTTCTTAAATTTGGATCTCCATAGGTGCGGTTGTGCGCAACTTAACTTTTTTTTAAGTACACTAAAAGAAAGCCCTATTCATTCTCTATGCACTGATAAAAATGGGTTGCCATGACTATAACCTTTTTCAAGTAATCCATTATCAAGGTACCATCTGCATCCGCCATTTTTTTTCTTAAAGTCAAAATAACTTAAAAACCATAAATGGCAGATATCGACACATGGGTATCAAAAGAACTGAAATTTCACGTAGAATCCAAAAATGCAATAAAAAATAGGGGTTGCCATTTAAAATAACGAAGTTACTATCTACTTCCGATGTTTCCGGAAGTGCGGCCATTTTGAAAATATTTTACATCGATTCGGCCTTCAGAGTAACTCCTAAGTACAAATTTTCAAAAACCTACGTATTTTACTTTCCCAGAAACGTTTAACTAAAGCTCCCAAAAAAACACCCTGTATATCAAGTACATAAACTGTGTCTCTATGGACGAGTCGTTTATTTAGCCGAGCGAGTTTACGAGCGAGGCGTAAATAAAGATGGCGAGTCCATAAAGACGGTTTATGTACGCGGTATATACAAAGCTTTATGTACGATTGCAACAATTACTCTTTAAAGAAGAAAATTTAAGAAAATTTAATAATCGACATAAAATCCATTTACCATTGACACGAGATGTCAAATATTTCGAAACTTAGTATCTAGTATTTTATGAAATGTATGAAACGTTGAAAATGGTGATGGTATCAAAGGTTGCTGTTCTTGTTGCTAGGGTAACAACAGTTAAAAAGTAAAGTTAAAAATTTGTGCGTTTGTGAAAATTTTTGTAGTTGTGCAAAAATGGAAGAAATATCGCAAATTGCATCCGCAGCGAAGGAAACTCTTCTTCCCTGCAAATCGAGAACGGTATATGA